GTTTCGTGGCCCCGTTGCAGCCCCTCGTGGTTTCCTCGCTGCCCTTCGTGGCCCCCGTTGCAGCCCTTCGTGGCCCCCTCGCTTTGTTTCGCAGCCCCGTCGCAGCCCTTCGTGGCCCCGCTGTCGCCCTCCGTGGTCCCCTCGCTGCCCTTCGTGGCCCCGTTGCTGCCCTCAGTGGCCCCAGCCCCGCATTATCTGCCCTTCGTGGCCCCCGTTCGTTCGCGCTCTTCGCGGCCCCAAACGCATTCCCTTCGTATACCCGCTGTTGCCCTTCGTGGCCTACTTCGTGTCCTCGTGGCCCTGCTGTCGTTCCCTCTCGCTCTCGCTTTCGCTCGTCGTCGTCGTCGCTGTCGTCGTCGTCGTCGTCGTCGTCGGTCCCCTGTCCGTCCCTTTTGGGGTCGGGTCGACGGTCCGCGGCCGCCCCGCCGATCAGCGCTGCCGTTGGCCAGGCCGACGGTCCGCGGCCGCCCCGCTGCTTGCCGGGGCCCGGCCTGCAGGGAAGAAAGGTATACCCCGCAAAAAGGGTTCGATCGATGACGAAGAGGGCGGGTATCGAAGGTTTGGGAAACAGGCGTTCTTGGACACTCGAGCAAATAAGGGCGAACAGTCTTAAAATGATTGTTGTTGCTGTTGCTGTTGCTCTTGCTGTTGTTGAACTCTCGTTTCTGAACGATAATTATTGTTGACCCCCCCACCGGTGCACACTGTTTTTTATCAAGCAAAGTGTGCCCCTCGACGCTCGCACCCTGTTTTTCGACAGGGACAGTCGCGATGCTCAAACTAGGCCCCTGGCCCCAGGGTTACAACAACAACGGCTCCCGCCTGAGACTTCCTCACAATTTAGCCAGGACCCCCGCTCCCGCCCGAGACTTCCTCACAATGTATTCATGAATCGCGCTCTCGCTTGAGACTTCCTTACAATTTATACAGGACATGCTTTCCTGGCGTTCTGGAGTCGCGCTCTCGCTGGAGACTTGCTCGCAAATCGCTGACGAATAATGCCCTTGCGTTGGAATTTCTTGCAATTTACTCAAGCGCCGCTCTCCCGACACCCAGGCACCCAGGAGTCGCGCTCACACCTAGGACTCCATCACAGATTACCTAGGAATCGGGATATCGCTGCCCTTCGTGGCCCCGTTGCAACCCTTCGTGGCCCCCTCGCTTTGTTTCGTGGCCCCGTTGCAGCCCTTCGTGGCCCCCTCGCGTTGTTTCGTGGCCCCGTTGCAGCCCGTCGTGGTTTCCTCGCTGCCCTTCGTGGCCCCGTTGCAGCCCGTCGTGGTTTCCTCGCTGCCCTTCGTGGCCCCGTTGCATGCCCTTCGTGGCCCCGCTGTCGCCCTCCGTGGTCCCCTCGCTGCCCTTCGTGGCCCCGTTGCTGCCCTCAGTGATCCCGTCCTTGCCCTCCGCGGCCCAACATACGTATGCCCTTCGTGGCCCCCGCTTGTTCGCGCCCGTTGTGGCCCCATGTGCATGCCCTTCGTGGCCCCGTTGTCGCCGTTTGTGGCCCCCCTAAATGTCCTACGTGGCCCAATCCTACCCTCACTGACCCCATCGTTGCCTTCTGCGGCCCCGCATTCTCTGCCTTTCGTGGCCCCCGGCTCGTTCGCGCTCCTCGTGGCCCCATACGCATTCCCTTTGTGTTCCCGCTGTCGCCCTTCGTGGCCTACTTTGGGTCCTTCGTGGCCCTGCTGTCGTTCCCTCTCGCTCTCGCTTTCGCTCGTCGTCGTCATCGTCGTCGTCGTCGCCGTCGTCGTCGTCGTCGTCGTCGCCGTCGTCGTCAACGTCGTCGTCGTCGTCGTCGTCGGTCGCCTGTCCGTCCCTCTTGGGATCGGGTCGGCGGTCCGCGGCCGCCCCGCCGATCAGCGCTGCCGTTGGCCAGGCCGACGGTCCGCGGCCGCCCCGCCGCTTGCCGGGGCCCGGCCTGCAGGGAAGAAAGGTATACCCCGCAACAGGGGTTCGATCGATGACGAAGAGGGCGGGTATCGAGGGTTTGGGTAATAGGCGTTATTGGACACTCGGGCAGGTAAGGGCGAACAGTCTTAAAATGATTGTTGTTGAACATTATTACTTCTAAAGAATAATTATTGTTGGGGCCCCTGGTGCACGGCCCCCTCGCCGCGCCTAGGCCGCAGCCATGTTTTCATCACTTTCGTGAGGAAGTCTCCGGCAAAACGGGTTGGTCCGGATCCGGTTGTTTTGTTCCCCCCCGCTTTCCCTGGCAAAAAAAAAGAAGCTAAAGTGGACATTTCTTGTTCTAACATAACCAAACTTCAAGAATCCCTTGCAAAAAATAAGGTAAAGTGGACATTCGCGCGCGCAAGACGAAATCCTTCCAAAACCTTAGTGTTCGTAGCGATCTTAACATAAAAACATCAAAAAACCAATGGTTTTTCAAAACAAAAAAAAGAAAAAAAGTTTCAAAATTTCATCCCGCGCGTTCTTGCGGATTTGTAGGAAACCCAACACTTTTTGAACATTTTTGTCAAACGGGTTTTTGCGAGCAACTTTTTCACGTGCTTCGAACTTCTCCAACAACGGTTGCGCACCTGCCAAGGCCATCATCCCTGTCAAATAATACCATGCGGGACACATTCGTTTTTTCTTCGCGCGCGCACGCCGAAATCTTCAAAAACCATTGGGTTTCATAAGAATTTTAGCACCGCGCAACATAAAATCACACGAATCGCACCGTAGGTCCTCGAAAAACATTTGTACGAATTTTCAAAATTTCTACCCGCGTGGTTTCCTATTCTAGCGTCAGGAACACGTTACCACCAAAAACCAGTACAGGTGTCCAGTGTTGGAACAAGGGGAAAAGTCGTATACTAAGCTAGCGTCCAGAAAATGTTACCACAACAAGTCACTGTACCCATGCGCCAGTGTAGTAGCCACGGTCGTCCGCAGGCCACGAAGTGAAGTGTCCGAACGTCATAGGGCGGGAAGCTGGGTGTGGGTGGTGGCGAAGAGTCGTTTTGGAAATGTGGTAGAGCTTGAACCGGCCCCCCCACAAAGTGGGGGTATTGCCCGCCTCCTATGAAAACCCTGGCACTGGTGAGAACGGAGTGTCCCCACGTGCTAGTAATTGTTGTTGTTGTTGCTGTTGTTGAATTCTCATTTCTGAAAGATAACTATTGTTGATCCCCCCCACCGGTGCACACTGTTTTTTATCAAGCAAAGTGTGCCCCTCGACGCTCGCAACCTGTTTTTCTGACAGGGAAAATCTTCCTGCTCAAGCTGGGCCCCCGGCCCCCGGGTTACAACAACAACGGCTCCCGCCTGAGACTTCCTTACAATTTAGCCAGGACCCCCGCTCCCGCCCGAGACTTCCTCGCATGTTATTCAGGAATCGCGCTCTCGCTTAGGACTTCCTTACAATTTATTCCGGAATCGTTCTCCCGGCGCTCTGGAGTCGCGCTCTCGCTGGAGACTTGCTTGCAGCTTACTGAAGAATGGCCTTGCGTTGGAATTTCTTGCAATTTGCCCAAGCGCCGCGCTCCCGACACCCAGGCACCCAGGAGTCGCGCCCGTTGTGGCACCATGTGCATGCCCTTCGTGGCCCCGCTGTCGCCATTTGTGTCCCCCTCACTGTCCTACGTGGCCCAATTGCTACCCTCAGTGGCCCCATAGTTGCCTTCTGTGGCCCCGCATTATCTGCACTTCGTGGCCCCCGCTCGTTCGCGCTCTTCGTGGCCCCATACGCATTCCCTTCGTGTCCCCGCTGTCGCCCTTCGTGGCCTACTTCGTGCCCTTCGTGGCCCTGCTGTCGTTCTCTCTCGCTCTCGCTTTCGCTCGTCGTCGTCGTCGCCGTCGTCGTCGTCGTCGTCGTCGTCGCCGTCGTCGTCGACGTCGTCGTCGTCGTCGTCGTGGTCGGTCCCCTGTCCGTCCCTCTTGGGGTCGGGTCGACGGTCCGCGGCCGCCCCGCCGATCAGCGCTGCCGCTGGCCAGGCCGACGGTCCGCGGCCGCCCCGCCGCTTGCCGGGGCCCGGCCTGCAGGGAAGAAAGGTATACCCCCCAAAAGGGGTTCGATCGAAGACGAAGAGGGCGGGTATCGAGGGTTTGGGAAATACGCGTTATTGGACACTGGAGCATATAAGGGCGAACAGTCTTAACATTATTGTTGTTGTTGTTGGTGGTGGTGGTGTTGTTGTTGCTGTTGTTGAATGTCAATTACTAAACAAGTACTATTGTTGGACCCCTTACAGGCGCCCTGGCGCTCTCGCCGAGGCGCCGAGGCTCGTTCTCAAGCGGAGAAGGTGGGGGATGAACAGAAAAGGGTGTCAGCAACTCAGCTGCATGGGGCTGGTTTTTCTGGCACCTCGCTCTCCATCGCTACGGACATCGACCAAGATCGAGCTCGAGCGCGTCGCTGGTGCTGGTGATCAATGCGCAAGGGAAACATATTCCAAACACATCATCACGCACTGCGACCACGACGACGCCAACGACGGAGACGAAGTGCGTGCGCTTACGACCCGCACCCACGCACCGGTTCGGGAACGGGCACTCTCTGCTTCGATCGTCATTCTTGTGAAGGCGTCGATAACCGTGAGAAGAGGATAAATAAAGAACATACTGCATAACCATAAAATAGGCTGGCGCGAATTTCTTGGATCGGCGCTGAACCTTCCCCTCCCTGGCACACGGAGCACGCCAGGGGCAGCGACAGTTGCGCCGTCAGGGGGGTCCCAAACGCCGATCCTGGAAACCTGCGCGGAGCTCCTAGGGTTGCAGCTCTCTATACAAGAGGCCTGAAAGTGAGAACCCTGAGCAGCGCTTATCCGAGCCCTATCCCCACGGGCGTGGCCTGGGCCCCACTGGCCGATGTACCTCCCTAGATGGGGATATAGGCCGTTCCCTTTGGGCTTCGAGGGGTGTATCCCCAACTGGGGTGCTAATTTGGTGGGGGTCTCGAACGGGATGGGGATGGGGGTCGGTTAAACGATACCGATGAGCTGAGAACCCCCTGTCTCCCATCTGCGGCGGAGGCGGCCAGGCGCGCACGCCTCGGGAGCAGGGGCACTTCGCTCAGCAGCGTCACGGCCCTGCCCCGGGGCACGCTCGTGCGGCGAAGAGCAGGCGGCCTCCTTCTGCCGCCCCCTCCCTTCATATCCATGGAGGCACGAACACATGCATCAGCAGAAACTTTCGGAGGTCTGCGTGGATTTCTTCTGGGCGGCGTCAATGAGCGGCTCACGACAAAAAGCAGGCACGGTGGGAGAAGTCCAGACCCTCTGGGGTTCATTCCTGTGGAAATTCACGACGTCGGGGATCTGGCCTCTGCCGCCTCCTCAAGTCAAGATGAAGATCTACGAGGGCAGGTTCGAGCATGGCGTAGCGTGACCAACCATGAGGTGCGTACCTGCGTTCTTCAGCATAGCCCGCAGACAAAGCGGTCCAGAAATTGGACTCGTAGACATCAATTGGGATCTGGAGGTGGGCAAACGTGATGGTGGCAAACTCTTTATACATCCCCTTTCAACACTCAACACTCGTATAGGCGTGTAGAAATAAAGGGAAAGAGAGACGGAGAGGGAAGTGAAAACATGGGTTGGCGAAGTTTGATGTGTGTTGTGTGGGGTAAACTTCATTTCTTCCCTCCGATTTGTCACTTCCACTGCCCGCGCAATCATCTCACCCTGACACACACACAACTTTGTTGGCAAAACGAATGCGGTAACGATTGCGATGACAACTTGGCACTGGCTGGCGCATCCCTGTGGCCGCGCTGGTGCGCGCGTGGAACGGCCAGCTGGTTTGGCACAACCGATGGGACCGCTATGGCACTTGCCAATGTACATTCCCCAGTGCGTCTACAAGACCGCGCTGGCGCGCGGGCGCGCGAGTCCGGGTCGGTAGCTCGGGTGGGCGCGATATCATGATGACGTCGACAACGGTGGCGAAGATGGTGATAGTAGTGATGGTCTCTGCGATGATGACAATATGTGAGCGCACAGAAGTTCAAGAACTCGAAGAACAAGGTACTGGAAAACTGTGGGCTGCTCCTGAAAATGTTAAAGAGCTCTATCTTGAAACTCCTCCAGGCCCATTGGTTTTCGACGGATTTCAACACGCGCGCGTGGTGCGCGCGAGTGTGGCCCTTGCTTCATACGGATTCGTGCGCTGGGCGCATGCTAGATCAACACAAATGCGTTGATGAGATGATAATAGCGGTTCTGAACGAAATTGCTAGCCTCGTATGGTGCTCCCGTGATTTCAGCAATTGCGCGCGGGTAAACATCTGCAAGATGTTCGGTGAAACAACCGAGCACTTGTTTGATATGTTCGTGTAGGAACGTCTGCTAACCACTGGGGCTGGGCATGATTTCGGCATGTGCGCGTGTGGACTGTGCTGCGTTCCTAATGCTAGGGGCTTGTGCAACATAATCTTTTGAGATGAAGAGCTGCGCACGCATGGTACTATTTTATAGGGATGCGAGGCGAGGCGAGGCGCGCCTGAGTCCGCCGGGGGGCGGGGCCTGGAAGGCCGGCGCGGGCGGGCCGGGGCCCTAGTCACAGAAGTGGGAGTTGCGGTCAATGCTGTGTGTGTCGCAGGAATGATTGCTCCAAATTGTTCCACTGGTCGTTGTCTTGTGCTACTGTATACCATCTTCCGCTGCCAGATTCAAAGAGCATCTTCGCTGTCAAAAACTGCGTGATATCGTCTTCCCACCGCTTCCTCTGACGCCCGTGCCTGCGGACTGCTTGCCGGTGGTCGTGGATGTCTGACTCCCACGTCGCAGCAAGTCGGCTCCATCTGTCGTACGGTTGGTTTGCAACTCGCCCAGCCCACCGCCATTTCCGTCGAAAGTACACCGTAGTCCACTCGTCCACGCGGGCCCGTTTTGCTAGATCCGCGGCAGTGTGCGTAGCTCTGCGGATAAAGACAAACACCAGGGGGGAAGCAAACACCAGGGGGGGGATCGATAAGTCTGGGCTTCGGAGGTTGGTGGAGCCTTTCTTTCCTCGGAGAGGAGAATCCACGTGGTCCAATGTACGCTGTGTCCTTTGGTGTTGCATGCTGTGTTGTGCGAGCCACGTGGTGAAGCCTGTGTGGCGCAAAATGCGTGACACAATCCTTCGTGGTGTGGTATGTGCGGTGAGATGTATGAGCTGCAATCAGAAACGCCAGCCAACGCACGAGGCGCCCACGAAGTGCCCACCAGCGCCTACTGGGCGAAGACTGAGGAGACCCAACAATCGCACGAGACGCCCACGGGCGCTGACTGGGTAAAACTAGGGAAACCCAACCAACGCACGAAATACCCTCCCTTAGGCGCCCACGAACGCCCACTGGGCGAAAATCGGCAAACCCTCGCAACTGCTTCTCAGGAGAAAGATATTAACCTGGAGCGCAAACACTGAGCTTCTAGCATGGGGGATTGAAACGTCACAACACGCTGGGAGCGTGCACGCATTTCCGCAGTCGACATGTGGCTGGAACTGATCGGCACACTTGTAGAGGTAGGAGTCTTGAGGCTCGAGCCCGTGCTTTTCCAATGGGGGCGACGAAGAATGTGAGAGCGAGGTTAAAGAGAGGAGAGT